CGAACCTCTTTGTCATAGTTGCCCGTAGTAAATGCATTGCAGGTGACAACTGCCAGCGACAGTTGCTATGAAGTTGCCCTTGAATATTATGGCGTTCATCACCCTAACACCACACTCACTGTGCTCTCCACATGTCAACACCCACCCACGGAATCCTGGAAAGTCGGATGGTTTTCCTCTGGCGCTCCTGTGAGGCGAGACTGCACCCACTTGGTCATCAGCATCCACTGAATTAGATTGGCCAACATCAGCAGGTCGGCGATTCCGTCGCGGCCTGCTTGTATTGTACCCGCAGCGCCGCTCGCTCCCACGTGCACAACACGGTAAGGAAGGGTTCGACTCCCGTCGTGGCCCCTCGCGCGCGCCAGTGAGACCCACGGTCACGGCGCGAGGTTACTACTGCGCTCAGCCTTGTCCTGGGCCCCGAACTCAACCGGGGAACGGCGGGAGGCGACGTTCGACCCTTTCGTTGCCGGAAGTCGGTGGTCTCGGAAGGGCCGAGAGAATCGCGCGCTCTCTCTGAGTACGCTCGCTCGGAAACGACAGAAAGGGGTCTCTCTCTCTCCTTCTCACTCCGAGCGCCCCCAAGGACAACACGCAACGGCACGCACGGCGGTGGGGCAGGGGCGGGGCATGGCAGTGGTCTGTGTCAGGAAACACCCCTCCCAGACAGAAATGGACCGTTCCAACCAACAACAAAAAATTAACAGAGCTCTGGTGTCCTGCATGGAATTGGTTACACACAGAGCGGGCTGCCCCCACGGCCCACCAATACGTCGCCAGGGTTGATACTTGTCGTACGGGCGGGGGACTTGCGGCACGTGGGTACGCACCACTGACTGTCTCAGCTTTTGACTTGGCCACTTTTGCGTGGAATTTGAACAAGTGCTTGGGTGACGGGAGAGTACTCGTCCCCCCGCACGACAGGAATGTGGAAGTTCCACCCCAACGGTTCGGGGCTGTGAGCGGGCAAATGAGCACCCAATGCCTCGATGCTCATGAGAGCAGCAGCTCCCTCTCCCGTGATGTTCACCACTTTCAGAATGTACAGAGTTACACCCAACCCGACCACTCTCACGCTTCTTTTTGACGTAACGTCTCGGGGTGGCAGGGTGACGCTGGGGTGACACTCGCGCCTCACAGCAAGCAGGGCCTGGGCTCCATTCCTGACTCGGGAGCCTTTCCGCTTGTTGTTTATGTGTTCCCCCCCTGTCCTATAGTGTGATTGAGAGTGGAGTGTGTATGTTCTCCCCCTGTTCTACAGAGTGTGGAGTGAGTGTAGTTTGTATAATCTCCCCCTGTCCTACAGAATGAGTGAGTGTAGTTTCTATGATCTCCCCCTGTTCTACAGAGTGAGTGTATTTTGTATGATCTCCCCCTGTTCTACAGAGTGAGTGGAGTGGTGTTTGTGTGATCTCCCCCTGTTCTACAGAGTGTGGAGTGAGTGAGTGGAGTTTGTATAATCTCTCCCGGTCCTACAGAATGAATGAGTGGAGTTTGTGTGATCTCCCCCTGTTCTACAGAGTGTGGAGTGAGTGGAGTTTGTATGATCTCCCCCTGTCCTAGAGAATGATTGAGTGGAGTTTGTGTGATTTCCCCCTGTTCTACAGAGTGTGGAGTGAGTGAGTGGAGTTTGTATGATCTCCCCCTGTTCTACAGAGTGAGTGGAGTTTGTATGTTCTACCCCTGTACTACAGTGTGAGTGCTGAGTGTGTAGAGCAGTAGTGTAGTGGTTAGTGCACTGCACAACGAACCCAGCGACCCGAGTCTGATTCCCGCACACGATCAATAACATTGACAAATATCTGAACTGATCCTCAACTTCCCCTTGGGGGGCTCGGTCTTAAATGAGTACCTGGCGCGGTGTGTAAACATCAACACGGGGGAGACAAAGGTGGCCGGGCGTGGTGTTGGCCAAACACGCCCTCGTGTGCCCTTCCAGCCTTCATAGGTGCTCGCTAGCAGCACTTGCCCTGACAGTCTGTGAAGGCTATAACGGGGAGATCTTTTGTCTTAGGAGTGTGTACACTCTCCCCCTCTTCTACACGGGTTGCCAGCCGGATTCACCGATTTCGCCTCCCTCAGCTAAAAATACACACGACATGACCATTGGTGTTGGCCAAATATCTAAATGCAGGAACCCCTCCTGAAAGCGAGTAGACGGCATCCGTGTGCCTTACCTAGGGTCGGTTAAACAAAATCAAACGCTTCTCCCTGTTCAACCTGCGGACGGTTGGCGCACACGGCTGGAACCGCGTCACGGGACCGGAGACTCGGGAAGGCGGGCGGAGGGGCGGTGTGACGGCAGGCGGGCGGTGGCGACGATGCGGGCACGGTCACAGCTCCTCGTGGTGAGCGTACTGCTCCCCGAGCTGCCGCCCGTAGTCCGTGACCTCGCTGGTGAGGAAGAGCTCCTTGTTCTGCACCACCTCGTCGTGCGACAGCTGCCCGTCGCCGTCCGTGTCCATGTGCTCCAGGAGGTGCTCCGTCTGGGGGCGAGACGCCACACCCCGCCGACCTCTCAGCGCCCCCCTCCCGTCGCCAAGACGCGTCGCCGAGTTACGGCGAAAACACTTTCGATCTGTCGCTGAGCGTGTCACCGAGCGTGTGCGTGTCACTGAGCGTGCGTGTCGCTGAGCGAGCGTGTCACCGAGCGTGTGCGTGTCACTGAGCATGCGTGTCGCTGAGCGAGCGTGTGCGTGGCCCTCCGAAAGGAAGCTCTCATCGCGGGCACGGCCCCCCCTCCCACTCTCACCTCGTCCTCGGCCACCTCCAGGTTGTTGGGCATCAGCCAGGAGAGCAGCTCGCTCGGGTTGAGCTTCCCGTCGTGGTCGATGTCGAACTCGCTGGTGAATTTGTCCGTCTCGGTGATCACCCACTCGGGGTCGCTCTCTGCCGCTGTGAGCGCGGTTGGCGGCACAGAGAGAGGGGGGGGGGGAGAGGGGGTGTGGGGAGAGGGGGTGTGGGGAGAGGGGGTGTGGGGAGAGGGGGGGTGGGGAGAGGGGGTGTGGGGAGAGGGGGGGGTGGGGAGAGGGAGGGTGGGGGGGGCAAAGTGGCAGGGGAGGTGCAGAGTTTAAGTCACAGCCACAGCCGAGAGTCTGGGTTCCAATCCGGGTGCCGGACGCCTGCAGTTAAAATGGCGGCAGGGCGGTGGCGGCGGTGACACTCGGTGAGATTCCCCACGCGGGCACTTTTCTGCGAGCGGTTTGCATCTTCTCTCCACCTGCTGCGGACGCGCTCTCTGGGGCAAACGATGGCCGATTGCCGGGACGTACGTGCGGTGAACTTCTTTCGCACCGTACGTAGCCAACCGTGCTTATCGGAGGCACGAGGACAGGCAGTGGAGGGGGTCTCAACGAACCCAGCGGCCAAGGGGGAAGAGAAGACCAAGGGGCAAATGGTGTGATACTGTCGGGGCAGCGTTTCTCAAACTCGTTTGCGCCCCCACGGAGCACCTAGCCCCTCGCTCAACCCTGGTGACATAACGCAATCAATCACTTCTCTTTCTAAATACCAGAAATACAAAATGATTCATACAAACGGAACATAAAAACACATTTTTATTTAAACGCAGCTCTAGGGTTTTTTTTAGGTGTGGGGGCATTTAGATTTTTGGGTAGTTTAATAAGGGTAGTTTTGACTAACCTAATTTTGCAATAAAGTATCCAGAGTAATGCCCATAACAAAAGGTATGAGAACGTCGTCATCATTGTCCGGGTCAAGCTGCGTTGGCATCACAGCCCACGCGGACCACTGCAGGTCCGGGGACCATAATCTGTGGGTCTCATTGTGAGTCTGTGTGTCTCACTGTGAGTCTCACTGTGAGTCTGTCGGTCTCATTCTGAGTCTGTGGGTCTCACTGTGAGTCTGTGGGTCTCACTGTGAGTCTGTGGGTATCACTGTGAGTCTGTGGGTCTCATTGTGAGTCTGTGGGTCTCATTCTGAGTCTGTGGGTCTCACTGTGAGTCTGTGGGTCTCACTGTGAGTCTGTGGGTCTCTCTGTGAGTCTGTGGGTCTCACAGTGAGTCTGTGGGTCTCATTCTGAGTCTGTGAGTCTGTGGGTCTCACTGTGAGTCTGTGGGTCTCACTGTGAGTCTGTGGGTCTCACAGTGAGTCTGTGGGTCTCATTCTGAGTCCTGTGAGTCTGTGGGTCTCTCTGTGAGTCTGTGGGTCTCACAGTGAGTCTGTGGGTCTCATTCTGAGTCTGTGAGTCTGTGGGTCTCACTGTGAGTCTGTGGGTCTCACTGTGAGTCTGTGGGTCTCTCTGTGAGTCTGTGGGTCTCACTGTGAGTCTGTGGGTCTCACAGTGAGTCTGTGAGTCTCTCTGTGAGTCTGTGGGTCTCACTGTGAGTCTGTGGGTCTCACTGTGAGTCTGTGGGTCTCTCTGTGAGTCTGTGGGTCTCACTGTGAGTCTGTGGGTCTCACTGTGAGTCTGTGGGTCTCACAGTGAGTCTGTGGGTCTCACTGTGAGTCTGTGGGTCTCACAGTGAGTCTGTGGGTCTCGCTGTGAGTCTGTGGGTCTCACTGTGAGTCTGTGGGTCTCGCTGTGAGTCTGTGGGTCTCACTGTGAGTCTGTGGGTCTCATAGTGAGTATGTGGGTCTCGCTGTGAGTCTGTGGGTCTCGCTGTGAGTCTGTGGGTCTCACTGTGAGTCTGTGGGTCTCATAGTGAGTATGTGGGTCTCACTGAGTCTGTGGGTCTCGCTGCGAGTCTGTGGGTCTCACTGTGAGTCTGTGGGTCTCACAGTGAGTCTGTGGGTCTCATAGTGAGTATGTGGGTCTCGCTGTGAGTCTGTGGGTCTCGCTGTGAGTCTGTGGGTCTCACTGTGAGTCTGTGGGTCTCATAGTGAGTATGTGGGTCTCACTGTGAGTCTGTGGGTCTCGCTGTGAGTCTGTGGGTCTCACTGTGAGTCTGTGGGTCTCACAGTGAGTCTGTGGGTCTCGCTGTGAGTCTGTGCGTCTCACTGTGAGTCTGTGGGTCTCGCTGTGAGTCTGTGGGTCTCACTGTGAGTCTGTGGGTCTCACAGTGAGTCTGTGGGCCTCACTGTGAGTCTGTGGGTCTCACTGTGAGTCTGTGGGTCTCGCTGTGAGTCTGTGGGTCTCACTGTGAGTCTGTGGGCCTCACTGTGAGTCTGTGGGTCTCATTGTGAGTCTGTGGGTCTCACAGTGAGTCTGTGGGTCTCGCTGTGAGTCTGTGGGTCTCACTGTGAGTCTGTGGGTCTCACAGTGAGTCTGTGGGTCTCGCTGTGAGTCTGTGGGTCTCACTGTGAGTCTGTGGGTCTCATTGTGAGTCTGTGGGTCTCATTGTGAGTATGTGGGTCTCACAGTGAGTATGTGGGTCTCACAGTGAGTCTGTGGGTCTCACTGTGAGTCTGTGGGTCTCGCTGTGAGTCTGTGGGTCTCACTGTGAGTCTGTGGGTCTCACTGTGAGTCTGTGGGTCTCATTGTGATTATGTGGGTCTCACAGTGAGTATGTGGGTCTCACAGTGAGTCTGTGGGTCTCACTGTGAGTCTGTGGGTCTCACTGTGAGTCTGTGGGTCTCACTGTGAGTCTGTGGGTCTCACTGTGAGTCTGTGGGTCTCACTGTGAGTCTGTGGGTCTCACTGTGAGTCTGTGGGTCTCACAGTGAGTCTGTGGGTCTCGCTGTGAGTCTGTGGGTCTCACTGTGAGTCTGTGGGTCTCACTGTGAGTCTGTGGGTCTCATTGTGAGTATGTGGGTCTCACAGTGAGTATGTGGGTCTCACAGTGAGTCTGTGGGTCTCACTGTGAGTCTGTGGGTCTCGCTGTGAGTCTGTGGGTCTCACTGTGAGTCTGTGGGTCTCACTGTGAGTCTGTGGGTCTCATTGTGAGTATGTGGGTCTCACAGTGAGTATGTGGGTCTCACAGTGAGTCTGTGGGTCTCACTGTGAGTCTGTGGGCCTCGCTGTGAGTCTGTGGGTCTCGCTGTGAGTCTGTGGGTCTCACTGTGAGTCTGTGGGTCTCACTGTGAGTCTGTGGGCCTCACTGTGAGTCTGTGGGTCTCACAGTGAGTCTGTGGGCCTCACTGTGAGTCTGTGGGTCTCGCTGTGAGTCTGTGGGTCTCACTGTGAGGCTTTGGGTCTCACAGTGAGTGTGTGGGTCTCGCTGCGAGTCCAGTGGTTTCACTGTGAGTCTTAAGAGCAGGTTGTGGATGAGACCGTCGGGGGTCGTGTGTTGACTTTGCAGCAGCAGCTGCGGGATCTGGTGGAAGGTAAAACTCTTTGGTAGCGAGGGACGGCGGAGGTGGTGATGGTGGTGGTGGAGGTCATGGTATCAACGGTTTGGGCCATGATGGCATCGCTTGAACATAATGACACCTGCCACTCGGCACCTGCCTGTGTGCGTGCGCAGTGGTGGCCCAGCAGCTAGCGCTACGCTGCGCTACGAAACCCGGCAACCCGAGTTCGAATTCCCGCTCACGGACAACACCGGTGACGATTATCTGAATGGCCCACGGCCTTCCCTAGGTGGACTCGGCCTCAAATGAGTACCTGGGTGCGGTGTGTAAACATCGCCACTAGGGAGACAAAGGCGGCCGGGCGTGGTGCTGGCCACCCACCCCCTCGTGTGTCGTGCCGGTCTTTCGTAGGTGCTGTGCTAACAGCCCTTGCCCAACAGTACGTTAAGGCTATACGGGGGATCTTTGTCTTTGTGCGTGCGTGTGGCGTACTCGGGTCCCGGTGGTAGTCTCCGAGGAATTCGGCGAGGTTCACGAAGCCGTCGCCATCCTTGTCGTGCTCCAGCAGAGCCTCCTCCAGCACCGAGTCCTGCTCAAGCGCACAGCGACAGGGACCGTCAATATCGTCTCTCACCCACATCACCCACCAACGTCTCTCACCCACATCACCCACCCACGTCACCCACCAACGTCTCTCACCCACGTCACCCACCAACGTCTCTCACCCACGTCACCCACCAACGTCTCTCACCCACGTCACCCACCCACGTCTCTCACCCACGTCACCCACCCACGTCTCTCACACACGTCACCCACCAACGTCTCTCACCCACGTCACCCACCAACGTCTCTCACCCACGTCACCCACCAACGTCTCTCACCCACGTCACCCACCAACGTCTCTCACACACGTCACCCACCAACGTCTCTCACACACGTCACCCACCAACGTCTCTCACCACGTCACCCACCCACGTCTCTCACACACGTCACCCACCAACGTCTCTCACCCACGTCACCCACCAACGTCTCTCACCCACGTCACCCACCAACGTCTCTCACCCACGTCACCCACCCACGTCACCCACCCACATCACCCACCAACGTCTCTCACCCACGTCACCCACCAACGTCTCTCACCCACGTCACCCACCAACGTCTCTCACCCACGTCACCCACCCACGTCTCTCACACACGTCACCCACCAACGTCTCTCACCCACGTCACCCACCAACGTCTCTCACCCACGTCACCCACCAACGTCTCTCACCCACGTCACCCACCAACGTCTCTCCCACGTCACCCACCAACGTCTCTCACCCACGTCACCCACCCACATCACCCACCAACGTCTCTCACCCACGTCACCCACCAACGTCTCTCACCCACGTCACCCACTAACGTCTCTCACCCACGTCACCCACCCACGTCTCTCACACACGTCACCCACCAACGTCTCTCACCCACGTCACCCACCAACGTCTCTCACCCACGTCACCCACCAACGTCTCTCACCCACGTCACCCACCAACGTCTCTCACCCACGTCACCCACCAACGTCTCTCACCCACGTCACCCACCCACATCACCCACCAACGTCTCTCACCCACGTCACCCACCAACGTCTCTCACCCACGTCACCCACCAACGTCTCTCACCCACGTCACCCACCCACGTCTCTCACACACGTCACCCACCAACGTCTCTCACCCACGTCACCCACCAACGTCTCTCACCCACGTCACCCACCAACGTCTCTCACCCACGTCACCCACCAACGTCTCTCACCCACGTCACCCACCAACGTCTCTCACCCACGTCACCCACCAACGTCTCTCACCCACGTCACCCACCCACGTCTCTCACCCACGTCACCCACCAACGTCTCTCACCCACGTCACCCACCAACGTCTCTCACCCACATCACCCACCCACATCACCCACCAACGTCTCTCACCCACGTCACCCACCAACGTCTCTCACCCACGTCACCCACCAACGTCTCTCACCCACGTCACCCACCAACGTCTCTCACCCACGTCACCCACCCACGTCTCTCACCCACGTCACCCACCAACGTCTCTTACCCACGTCACCCACCAACGTCTCTCACCCACATCACCCACCCACATCACCCACCAACGTCTCTCACCCACGTCACCCCACCGTCTCTCACCCACGTCACCCACCCACGTCTCTCACCCACATCACCCACCCACATCACCCACCAACGTCTCTCACCCACGTCACCCACCCACATCACCCACCAACGTCTCTCACCCACATCACCCACCAACGTCTCTCACCCACGTCACCCACCCACATCACCCACCAACGTCTCTCACCCACGTCACCCACCAACGTCTCTCACCCACGTCACCCACCCACGTCACCCACCAACGTCTCTCACCCACCAACGTCTCTCACCCACGTCACCCACCAACATCTCTAGAAATTCCCACGTGATGATGGTAAGCCACTTGGTTGAGCTATCATTTGTGATAGCCAGGTCGCTTGTGAAAAACAGCTACACAGCTCAGCGGGGCCTTACCTTGACACTTGTTGTAGGAGCTTACCTGCACATGCGCCTAACGATAATCTAGTGCCTCTTGCTCTCCCACTTTGTTTGCAGTGGTTTGTAGATTTGAGCGTTTCGTTTATGACTGTTAAATACCTAATTCGTTAGCTGTGTGATATCCCTCAATGGCCGTGTATTCGTTCTCTGCAATGTTGTAGATACTTAATGTTGAGAACTTATTTCACACCGTACGTCACCAACTGTGCTAATCGGAGGTGCGGGAGAAGGACAACAAACTAAACACGAAAAGTAGTTCTAAAAAAATGAGTTTTTAATCTAGATTTAAAAGTAGATATTTCCAGTGGCTTCCTAATATCGGGAGGAAGAGCGTTCCAGATGGCTGCAGAAGGGCATCTGAAAGCGCCGCGCGATGCAGTGACCGTCTTTGTTCAATGGCCAGCCAGAAGCCGCTGCTACGAGGATGAGTGGAGTTCACGTGATGATGGTTTATGCTCCTTGACGAGATCAGCGAGGTATTGTGGTTCATTTGCAAGCACTTTGTGCGTAATGAACGCCACCTTGTCACGAATCCCATGTTTTTATTTTTGTTGTTGCTGCTGCTGCTCACGCAGCATCGCACGAACTCCTGCGTTAAACAGCCGGGCAACTTGAATGCACGCGACCATCACCAGCGCAACAAATCGAACAGAACTCAATGCTCAGGAGCGGACGCACGCACCACCTAGTGGGGAATTTGTTCGGTGCTTCTTTTTTACAAACCAAAAGGACGCAGGGCCACACTGCCACCGCCACGTAGGTCTGTGCCAGCGGTGGCGTCTCTCCCGAGCCGCACGCTCTTTTAACACACTCAGCGGCGTAACGTAGCAGCGTAACGTAGTAGCGTGCCATCACGGCAGTAGCAAAGAATAAGGAATGTCCCCTCCACATTTAGAATCAACATCACACGTTTCGAGTTGATTGGCTGCTGCTATGATGATGGGCCACTTGGTTGAGCTGCTACCATTTGTGGTGTCCAGGTCGCTTCTGAAAAAGCGAACTACACAGCTCAGTGGGGCCTTACCTGGTAAGGCACACCGTTGTTGAGTTTTAGTGAGCGACCACCAAGAGCCCGGCACGGTCACCTGCATGTAGTCAAACTCCTCGGGGTGCTCGAAGGCGAGGAACTCGGTGATGTTGAGACCCTGGACGCCGTCCGAGTCGGCCTTCCCAAACTTCTTCTTCTCCCTGGCGTAGAGCTGCGGGCGAACAACGCGATCATCGGAGAGCACCGCCGATCGTAATAACGACGACGACGACGACAGTTAGTTGTTGTTGTTGTTGATAAGAGCCACCCTCATTTACGACGTGGCGTCTCAAAAAGTGCACTGCAAGCGATGAGCGACTTGCGCCTCATCTCAACGCGTTTGAAAGGGGGCAGCCCCGATGGCAGCTGTTCCCTGTGTGGCACAAGGTGACTCAGCGCACGTGGCCTGCACATGGGCATTATTCGACCAGTAGGCGGGGGCTATGATTGCCACCGTGCGTGTGTGTGTGTAATTGCAGTGTCATTTTTCCAATTTGTGAAGATTTCGGCCGTGACACCAGAAGCACAACGGCCAACTGGTTTGCGAAGTACACCGGGCGATGATCTGTAACGTGTGCTGTGAAGCGGTCGGCGCATAGTTTTTATGGATAACCCGTTCCCGTGCTGATGACGTACGTGTACGTGTTACGTCATCGGAATGGAATCGTAAGTAAAGGGCACGCAAGAGAGGCGTGTGGCACAGTTGTTGCGCCAGCCATTGTAGGGTGCGGCGGTCGCGTCCGCTACGGTTCTCTGCGGTGAGTTTGCAGTACAATGTCTTTAAAAACGACGGCGCTACTACGCCTCTATAAATAAAAAATTTTGATTCAGCGGTGAACAGGAAACCCACCCCCCCTGCAACTTGCAGGCGACATCGCAGCGGGAAAGGGTTAATAACCGGGGCGGCCTGCCGGATCTAGAACCGCAACGTTTCTGCGGCAAGCGGCTTAGCGAGCTACCCGCTGCGCCACGTCACCGCCCGAGGAATTGAGGAAGCGGCCGAGATCACCGACGGCAAACGGTGCGAGAAGTTCCTCTCGTCCCTCGCGAAACGAGCTCCTGTGCCACCGAAGACAAAGCGTGCGAGACCCACGGGTGAGGGGTGAGGTGAGCGGAGCGGTGAGGGAGGCGGTGACGCAGACGATGATGAATGATGACGTCAGTAAGGCAATGAGGTTGTGGGTTCGATCCCGACCCTGACGCCTGCTGCTGCTGTGTATTGGAGTTTGTGTGTCTCTCTCTTTCTCATCATCATCACGGTGGCTAGGAGATGTTAACTACCTCGCCTGGTATACAGGAGGTCGTGGGTTGTCTCCCGACCCTGACGCCTGCTGCTGCTGT